GTTACTTGAATTTTCATATGGAGTTTATGATCATTATTTACCGATCAATTGATTGTTATTTATTTGGTTAGTAATTGTAAAATTAATAAATCAGTTTAAAGTATTCATAAAGAAATAACCATTGAAAAAAAGAAATATTTTCTTTAATCATTTTGTTCTACTGGTTTTCTTTGCATCATAATATGTTTAAAGGGGCGTTCAATTCATCGATTGAATAAATATTTATCAAAAACCATCACCTATATATATGGGAATGAAAGCAATTTTCCAGCTGAAATTTAGGTTGAATAACTAATAATTTCTTTTGTTTCAGTTAATTACAGTAATACTATTGAATCGGAAAACAAATACTTGCCAATTTCACTTGTTACTTTATAGTGTTGGTTACTATGTTAAGCCAATATAACTTATTCTAGCTTCTGGACAGGCGAATTTATCCATTTTTGTTGAGTTACGTTTTGACACTTGCTAATTGATTACTTATCATCGCTGACTCTTTTTATATGAGCGTGTGTGTGCACCTCATCCTACTCATCACATATCTGTAGCTTATCTTTGTGTGACTATAAATATCGATTAGTGCTTGATTAAATGGAATTGGTTCACACGCCATCTCCACTGCATGTCATTTCGCTTTGTTCTTTTTTCTTCGCTTTATTCGCTGCAATTCTCTGATTGTCTGTTCCGACCAACGAGTGTACAAAGTATTTGCCTTATTTAATTCCGTTATTCGCCAACGCGATTTAAGTCGATAATTTTATACGAGGATTGGTGATATGTAAATTTTAATAGCACTCAAAAACAATCAAACTTGAGCCAGATAAAGGGCCACTAAAAATTAACTGAATGCAATCAGATTACATTAATTGCGCAGTAATCTGAATATTTTTATACAGTAAGATTGAATGTTACATTGTATACTCCTTTTCATTTAGAGTTCGCTTATTTGACACATTTATCTTATCAAGTATGAAACATACGTATTGATCGAATTTCGAAATGTATTATTTTTTCACATCGACCATTGAAAATCCATCAATATTTTATTATTTTTTTGTTACCATGAGTTTTATAGTACGATTAACGTGAACTCAAAATTAAGGACAACATTGACCTATGTGTTTTTTTACTGAATCAAATTAACTTAACGTTTTAATCTACAGTTTGTGACTTTATATCAGTCATAGTACCGGTGTCATGCAATGCTTAGTAAAAGAAGCACCGTGCAGAATTTCATATTTACCTAATAAAATAAGTATATTTGATTTCGCAGTAACTATAATGACCTTTCACTATTCAACGTGAAGCGATTAAATATCTATATCTCGTCATAATTATCTCAGCTATTCTGCATGGATAACTGTTTACATCATGTACAGCTGAACAGCTTATGGACAATATTAGCAAATAATAATTTTCATAATTTAAAACATAGACTGATCTTAGCTTGATGATCGTTGAAAACCTGTAATTACTGGATTGCCATTTTGTCTTAGCATGCAACTCTTCAACAGTGCACATCCAAAATCCTATCAGAGATTTGATCCGAAGTCTTTTGCGACGATACAACCACGAGATCAATGATTCGGCATCCAACAATTTCAATGTTTTACTTCAATCAATACTTAATACTGCACAATCCTCATACATCTCTTGTTGTGAATAACTGTTACCGATTTAATATCAAGAGTTAAATTTTTTTGTTGGCAAATCAATAATTAATTTAAGTTTCTCGACAGATAATGTGAAAAATAATTAAATCATTAAACTTTTAAGCAAAAATAACCCACCTCAATTCAATACAATTACTTAAGTAAAATTTTACTGTAAAATAATAATATTAAGTGGATTGGTTGATGTTAGACACTACCACTACTGGATGCCAGCTCAGTGGTCCAGTATGTTAAGCATTCGCGCGCGAGACCAAAGGTCCCGGGTTTGAATCCCGCGATCGGGATCGTGGATGCGCACTGCTGAGGAGTCCCACAATAGGACGAAACGGCCGTCCAGTGCTTTCAGGCTTCCGAAGGTAATCTAACATCAGTCGGTTCATGTTCTCAATCAAAAGCTTAATAATCTCCACAACCCTTATACTAGTAATATTAAGTGAGCTCATTTTATCTTATAAGCCATAAATTTTCAAAAAAAAATAAAGAACGCAATAATTTTCTAAGCAATATGTGAATTATTATTGTTTCTTTTTGTTTACAAATGTATTTTATTTTTTAAAAAAATAAACATAAATTAATTCAGTTTGCTCGTAAAATTAAAAAAAGAAATAATAATCATAAAAATATTTTTAATTTATTGCAATACAATAAGCGTGAAAATTTAAGATATAATTAACTGTTACTTGAATGTTTCTATATATAATCGTTCTTTTTACCGGCAAAGTGAACCAATATATAGGCATTTGATTAGCATAACTATTTATTCGTATAAATACACATTTCATTTACAAATCTGTGTCTAAAATTCATTGTATTCACTTTATCCTACAATATTTATTGTTCTAAAATCAATTGAATTCATTGTAACCTATAAATTATATTTGTTACTGATAATGTTAATAAGAAAAAAATGTAATAAAGTATTTATTATACATTTACATAAAAAATAATCACTGTTTCTTAGTTTGAACTATGAATCAGATTATCTATGGGAATTTTCAAAACATAAGCTACATACAATTAGTTGTTATAGTAGCAATAAACAATAAGTAGTAGTTTGAATTCACATGACAATATTTAAAACATAATGATATGTATGTATGATGTTACTGAACTTCAAAAGAATGATTTATTCAATCTGATTAGTGTTCTTTTAGCAAGGTTTTTTTTCTACGGAATGGGGTTGCTGACCTGATGCCTCTTTTACCCGGAATTAAGAATGACAGTAACTTTAAAAGAGCTACAGGCAGAGTTCAAAAGAATGGTACCGTTTAATTATTTATTTTAAATCCTTTTTTTAAAAATATTATATATACATATTCAACTTTATTGAATCTAATACAGTTTTATTCTAGAATGTTTGGTGCAGAAAAATTTGTAACATGTTGCACTGAATGTAGTACGGAATGAACATAATTAAAAAAATACTCAAAAACACTTGTGTGCAAAATATTAGCGGTTTTTTAACATACAATTTATTCTCATCATAAATTGTACATGAATTAAATATTTTATTGTATAAACATCCTTTTGATTCATACTTCACACTAGGGTCACTTATTGAATTCTAATGAATTGGGCAATATATTGTAGAGAAATAGTTTTAACAAAGAATTAAGTATATCGATTTATTAAACAATAACTAGTTTAGTGTTTCTGCAATCGGTAAAATGATGGAGAAGATTCACGGTCTAAATGGATAGTTTTCTTGATGTTTTATTCCCTGAGCTATGGGATTTAGATGTAGAGTTTCAATTATCATTATGGACAACATCACGACCTACTTTATATAGCAACCAACTTTCTAGCTATTCCATTAATGGTATATCAGTTTGTTTCGTTTGCCTTGTTTGCGGTTGGCAATCTCCATAGGTTTTGTTGTCTTTCTTTGTCTTTGCATTTACATTGAATATCATTGTTAGTTAACTGCTGGCCTGTGTCGATGTGGCTGTTCATTGCTAAATGATCTGAATGTTATGCTTCCAGAATGTTTAACTATTAGGTAAGGCTTTTTTCATCGTAATTAAAGATAATCTTTGGTTGTAGGTTTATAAATATGCTAGAAAACACTGCCGTTCGAATTATTTATATCTATGTTCATTATGTACAATAGATCTATTTGCTGTCAGTTGGTATGAAACACATAATTACTTCACAATTTAGTAAATAGAAGAACTCTCTATTCAAAAACGTTCTAAATAAACCGATATAACTGAATATAATATACCTATCATTCATTTTAACCACTGATCTCAAATTATATTTTTCAAGATTGTATATTTTGTGCCTATATTCAACGCTAGTAAAATATCTAATCGCATTTATAGTTTGCTTAAACAGATACAAAAAGTCTATTTCTCATTTATATAGTAATGGAATAACTGGTACACTTTAGACACACAAAGTTCAAGATTAGCGTTTAATGTTTTAAACAAACCCCAATAAGAATGTAAATATTCTATTAACTGTCTTTCATTGTATAGGGGTTTTCACTTTATGGATATATATAAAGTAAATATTACGAAAGGAATATGTTTGACATTGTTCTTTAATTCAGTCGTATTTTTTTTTACTTTACTGTTGGAATTAGAAGGCTAGAATAGAGTCAGACATACTAACTATTGGCTTAACTTTGTAATAAGAATTCATACTTTAATGATTGTTAAAGTTTATTTATTTTTAGAGTTTACACTAGTTAACAAATGTCGAAGATAATTTAGGCGAACATCAATTTCTATGATCATTTGACCCATGTTCATAAAGGATAGAAACTGCATTCATGAACGTTTTACTTTGAATGTTATATTGCATGTTTCTGTCAGATACAAATGACAGAGGTGCACTAGAAAATCAGTTAATGATAACGAACGTTAGCATATCTACTAAAAGTGTGTTTTACAGTATGTAGTTATATAATAATTATAGTTCTCTGTGATCGAATGTCAATCAATTTTGCCTAGTAATTATATGAAACTATCAGCTGTTATTTGAATATGTTTTTAAGTATTAAGCTAAGTACTTCGGAGATAAAAAAATTTAACTTTTCAGTTTCCTTTAGTTCTTACTGATTCAGACGAATCAACTCCCTACCAAAGATACAGGATATTTATAAAAAACCAGCTTGTTAAATACTACAGTTAGTTTTGGATTTTTATTTAAGTCGAATTGAAATCAAGAGAATTATTGGAATGTGTCTTACTTTACAAACTCCTTAGTCAAAAAGCGTGTGCAATATATATATATATATATATATATATATATATATATATTGAGTAAGAAACGTTATTATTAATGACTAATTATTCTACTTCCTTTTTGGTTATATTCTAGTTGTGGGACCAGGTAAAAATAAATCGGCAGCCACAGGTGGTCGTATTGAAAATCATCAACATGATAATTTAAATCAGCGTAACAGTTTAGGTAGTGGAGATGCAGAGGCTACTGAAGATAGCAGTGATGCACCTAAAGGTCGTAAACGAAGAAAGAAAAAGTATTCAGTGCTTCAAGCGAAGTTAACTCGTTTAGCCAGCTTAATTGGACAACTGGGTAAGTTAAATAACTTTGCAGTGTATCTTAACTAATGACCAATAAAACTTGTTAGGTTTCAAAGAGGTATTCTACTTTATTTGTACAATCCTAAAATATAATCTATTGTAATTTCATGGGAAAATGAATCCAGAGTATGTGCATTCTAAAAAGATCATAGATATTTTGTCTATCATTTGTCGATCACCACTGGCAGATATAGCTTGAGGATATATTACAAATCGTACTGTTTCTTAAATATCATTTTCAGCATGACTAAAGCGCTTAATATATCTGATAAGCTATCATCGTGTCTCCATACTTAGTGAAATTACCAATAACAATCTCCTATTTCGTTCAAGAACAAAGAAGCATTTGCTATTAATCGAAAAACAACAGGCGGTATAATTCATTCCAACTTAATAATTACCAATTTTTATAGTATGGAAGCACAAAATAAAGGTCAGATGTTCACTAATGAATTTTTAAGAAAATCAAGTCTATTCAACTAGACAAGATGGGAATAAAAAGAGATCACTTTATTTTAACTATAATTTTCACGGATATGGAATACTACTTCACCAATTTTGGCTTTTAATATAAGCATTTAGTAAGTTACAATTGTCAAACTGAACTGAGTACATTCGTATTTTCATAGTTGAATCAACGAGTTGATCTAAGCTAGACCACTATTTAAAACCTGGATGCACTGGTCATGGCTTCTCACTAGATCTCCAGGAGTTCCGTCTTGAAGGTAGTCACTAGTGAGCACATGAATATTATCAGTATGGGGGTTTGTGCAGATTGTAGTATTTTCACCGTTCGATGCCATCTCAGTGGTCTAGAGGTTAAGCACTCGGATCATGGGTTTGAGTCCCGCGTGCAGGATCATGTATATACACTGCTGAGATATCTCACACTTCCAGATTTGAATAGTGGTCTAGCTTATATTGATTCGTGAATTCAACTGTAAAAATGCTACAATTTCTACAAATCCTCATACTGATATTCATATTTATTTTATCTATAGAATTACTACTCAATGATAGACGTATAAAATAAGACAAAAATTGTTTACTAGTCGATTGATTATTCCTAACAGTCACTTATTTACTTTACTTAACGATAACAAACTTCAAAAGAGATTATTATGCACAAGACATGTAGAAATATAAATATCCTGATTAATCTTTTCGGTTTGTTAGATTATCCCAGCTCAATATTTTTGTTATCTACACTGAAGTAAACTAAAATTATATATGATTTTATACACACAGACAACTGTTATGTCATAAAACTAAATAAATCGCCTACTTAAAATTTCATCCAAATGTTTATCCTTTTCTTCTTTTCTTGATAAATAATGAAGTAATTACGTGAATGGCAGTCAAACGTATATCCAATAGTAATAAATAGGTCTAATAAATATGTTAAATAAACAAAAAATTAATTTTATATATAAATTAGACTTTAGACAAACTTCGTTCATACTGTGCACATATCAGTTAACTTTAATTTGATTGACAAAGTCAGTAAGAGTTATAAAACATAACTTCATATTATATTTAATCTTTTTTTTTCCAGAATTTCTGTTATTAACTAGCATTACAAGTATAGATAAACTAGTTCGTCCAGTTCTGATATACAATCTTAAAGCTGTTCGGTATATATAAATAAATCTAAATGATTGATTACCCTATTTTTAAACAAAATAAGGCTTAATCTAGCAGAAAGGGATCATAATTTCATTGAATTGGAATACAAACTTGCTGTTTTTAAACACTTCTAGCAAACTGTATTTACTCTATGATTTTATTAATTAAGTGAATAATCTATCATTTGGTAAAAATCAGCGCTTGGATAGAGTAAGATTTATGATTTTCTTAGTGAAATCATGTTATTCATCATTAGTTATCGATTCATTTTCTCCCTTGAACTCTCTTGAACAAGTGTGATTCTTATAATAGTGATCTTTTTAAAAGACAGAAGCAAAACATTCGTGAGTTTTCTCATGTGTGTACACTTGTTACGTTGTCTTAAATGAGCCTGAAACTTTCAGACTATCAACAAATATGAAATACGTTATTTGTGATTTCACCCGGACATCTTAAGTTAAAAATACTATTTACCAGACTGATTAGTAATTATTTTAAAACTTGGTAGGTAGAAATCTATTTAGATTTACAACTTAATAACCTGGCTCCAGTCATTAATAGGTGTTTAATTAACCTATAGCTTCAATCTACTAAAATGCAAAACGTTTATGCCGCATGCTTCAAATATGGATGAATATATTATGAGCAAAAGATTGAAGTTCAGCTGATAATGGTGTTGTGAATGGAATCACTAACCAATTAGCTTTACTACTTGTTAGTAGGTGATAGAAAGTAATGGAAAAAAAAAGGAAAAAATCGTTTTCTGTTGAAGAAGTATATGATTAGAGATCTAAGAATCCACGATAAAAGTGGAATGAAATAAGCCCATGTATTTGACTACCATTACTTGATAAACCGTTCGATGAACTGACTATCTTTCCATTTATTTGAACGTAATTTTTCCTAGTATTTGAGTGAAAAAACTAGATCAATAAAATTATTTCTATTTCGTTTTTACTTGAAGTAAATTAAAAACCAAACCCCTCAAGTTTTTTTCATGTTAACGATTGATTGGAGATCAAATAATCCGCGAATTCCGATTCATTATCTTTTAAATGTTGATCGTTTTAATTCGAACTGTTCATTAATTTTTTTCGATAATTTAATCAAAATTATTAATTACCCTTTATTTTTTTCCTTTAAAGGTACCGTTGTGGCTAGTTTAACAGTAATAATATTAATTGTAAAATTTTCTGTCACTACATTTTATTTTAACAAAGAACACTGGGATACAGGCAGACATTTACATCAATTTGTACAGTTTATTATTATTGGTGTAACAGTACTTGTGGTTGCTGTGCCCGAAGGACTTCCATTAGCTGTAACTATTTCATTAGCCTATTCTGTCAAGAAAATGATGAAGGTAAGCAATTTAGCCTGTTGTTTTATGTTGATAAATAACATCGATGTATGTTGTTAGTTAGACAGTGGACGAATGGCTAGTATTATTTCAACTTTGCACTCAAATTTTAAAGAAAGAATATATTACTGTCTAGAATTTAGTTAGAATTTCTATAAAACTAACATTAAAAATGCACAACTATTGACTTTAACAAGAATTGAAACTAAGAATTTCAGTCCTCACGGTAAGTAAATTAAATTCGGTTCCGTAATTTGAAATATAGAGGTTCTCATTTCTGTAGTCAGGTTTTAGTCAATTTATACTGAGATAATGGTAGCTAACAGTGAAACTTTTATTAAAAGTGATTTTATATTATTTGTGTTCATAATATCCGTTAGGATAATACTTGATTAATACATTATAAGAAAATAAGACAGTGAATATGATGTAGGATGTGTACTATAGAACTGAGTAGAGAACAATACTTTTGTTTGTACAATTAAAATAAATAAAATCATTATAAGCAGAGACGGATGGTGGCTAGCAGTGGAATTCGGGAAGTGTGTTACGTCTTATTTGGGACTCGTCAGCTGGATGTACCTGTATCCCAGAGTTGGTGTTCACTCCGTTACTCGAACTAAATAACGTTCTTTTCAAACGACATCACGTTATACACTTAACAACTGAGTTCAGTAGACACTAGGTTGGACGAAACACGCATCTTGGATCCCACTGCTAGCTACTATCCATCTCTGCCTAGAATGCCTGTGATCTAAAACCGTATCTAGGCAAACCTCACAGGGTCCACATCTGCCAAACAGCGACTGATCAATTGCAGTCCTAAACATCAACGGGAAAATCCAAACACTGAATACAAAAATGAATTTGTACTCAGCTGGGTTTTTTTTCCAAAAATGTGGAGAATATCTAAATTAAACAGCCAAATAATTGTATTGTCAGTCGGCAGCTAACGGAGTAAAACAAGATCAGAAAAACAAATTAATGTGCCATTTAGTCACAAAATACAATCGATTCGGGAGTTTGAACTTTTTATTAACATATGAAAAAAGTCACTCTCTGAACTGAACTAGATAAGACATATAATTATTTAGAAAATAAAATTATTAAACGTTAATGGATAGTCTATGATTTGGAAGAAGTTAAAGAATGAATGCATTTCTAAATCAATTTCATCATTTATGATCTTCAGTTTTCGGAAAAAGCTTTGTGGTGCAATACAAATCACATAAACAGTCAGTAGTTTTTTGTGTTATTATCTTGTCTTGGTTTGATCATACTTTTATTTTTCTTATTTCATGATATTTTATGTAGGGACAAAATTTGTCTAGCTAAACACTGAAATGGTTTGAATTATTTTCTCCGGTTAGCGTTTTTTCAGCGAGTTAGTTTTCTACGAGATGTAGTCGCTCATCCCATGCCCAACCCTCCTCCTATAATCGGGCTTGGGACAGGCAGTAACTCTAGAAGATCTACAGGCAGAGTGTAGATAGGAGAACTTTATGGAAACTTCTCCGACACCATGGAGTTCTTGAGAAGACTGTCAACATTATCCGGAACTCATAGGACGGACTACAGTGCAAGGTCGTGTATGGGGGACAGATGACAGATGCATTCCGAGTAAGAACCGGAGTCAGACAAGGCTGTCTACTCCCTCCCTTCCTCTTTCTTCTGGGAGAGAACAAACCAGCTCCCAACTGAAGAGGAAATTAGGAAAAGACGATGGAAATGGATAGGACATACACTACACGAATCATCAAACTGCATCACGACGCAAGCCCTAACTTGTAATCCTGAAGGGAATCGGAAAAGAGGAAGGTCAAATAACACATTACGTCGGGAAATAGAATCAGATATGAAAAGGATGAATAACAACTGGAAAAAGTTGGAAAGGATTGCTTGAGACAGGCCTGGATGGAGAATGCTGGGGAGCGGCCTATACTCCTTCACGAGGAGTAACAGGTTGACAGTCTTTCTAACTTTGCAGGTGTTAATTTATACTTTTGTGACTAGAACAACTTGTTTAACACCATTACTACTTATTTGGTGGCTATATTATACTCTAAAGGTACAGATCGTTGAGATTATCTGGAATATTTTATCAATCCTACTTAAAAATCTGGCTAATTGCAAAAACATTGTGATTATACCCACTAAAGGTATAGGGGATTTCTTTTTGATAATTACTTATAGCTTTTATTTAGGCTATGTTAATGTTACAGGAATTGCATTAACGCTGGGTTCTTTAGTTCAATTTTTTAGAGATATGGACCTGAACTATCTGGTCTTTTGTTGCTATGAATAAATCAATTAACTCAAAATGTGTTTCAGGTCAATCATTATTACACTCCGACTTAAATAAGTCAGCTATTACATTTGTTAGTGGGAATTATTTCCCATTATGTTTTCAACTGACATCTTTTTATCGAAAATTTAATCAGAAAAATTCCATTTCAAAGTTTTAAAAATTAATATGTAGTAGTAGGATTCGAGAAAGTTCTTCAGAAATAATGTCAATCTGTTTGGTTCGGTGTAAATTGATACACAAAAGCTGATTTTATTCTAAATTGTGAAATATCTTCTTGTTCAGCATATCACTTTCTTAATACTGTTGATTGATTACTAGTTAGTGACCAATGTTCTGCTTCATCAATCTTTTAATGCAGCTGATCACCTCGATGACTTTACATAATATCCGATATGTTAAGGTGTTTGGTAGTTGAAGTTAACCGTGATTTCTTGTCCATCACTTCCTTATGTATAAGCTCTTTAAACGTTTATTTGTACATTATCTCTTGTCCATGAATTCACTGAGTTCGTTATTATGAAGAATAAGAAACATTTCATGAACTTCAGATAAGTTACAGAAGATATTTGAAATTTGGTTAGAATATTCATAATAATGATGGTGCTAATAATCAGAATCAAGGTCATGATTAAATAACAAATGTATTTAAGGACAAAAGTAAAATGAAATGAAAAAAGTTTTCTAATTTTCATTTTTCCTCAAATTCGCCAATTTATTTTCTTAACCTTGACTTAATTTTGATTGATAGGAACAAATTTAATAACATAAGAGTATAAAAACACATGTCAAAATGTACAGATAGATTTTCGGTTGGTTTGTCGATTATTTCCAAAACATTAAGTTATTAAAAAATCGGTGGAATAATACAATATGTGAGATGAATAGTCATAAATACTATATCTGGTATTCATTTTGTTCAATCAGATGTTATTAACATGTTTAGTTAGTACAGAATTAAATGTAATCAGACCAGGTTTGTAATTACACCATATTTAAACTTAAACATTACAAAGAAACGAATACAAATGTGTCTATACATGGTATTTTTCATGATCCACAATAAAAATGACCGTTAGTTGAGTTAAAAATGTTAGTCTAATAATTATTATTGGAGCATATCAATATTAAATAACATACTGAGTCCTATCAGTTGAGATACAATCTATTAGTCTATAGTACCTGCATTTTAGGGATAGAAAGTCTTCTCATATACATGGCTCTTGGATGTTAGCGCTTAAAATAGATTTTGGTAATTAAAAATAGGGACTCCATGAGATAACATAAGTCATTGCTTCTTTATTTCAGTAAAATGAAATTCTATATTTTGATAAATATTTAAAGACTTTTAGTTACTAGTTATTTTTATTTTCACTTGGTGGGTATGGTGATTGACATTTATTGGAGATAATATTTTATTTCGTTCCTTTCAGCCTGTACTTTTTTAATGAACTCTAATGCTTCATATATTGATATTTTAAGATTTTAACGGTCATTTCTGGACATGAATCGGATGTTTTATTTTTTTACAGTTATATTTATTTTTTATTGAAGTAGACATTTTTTAAAATATCATAGATAGACTTCCTAGCTTAGTGGTTTACATACTTAAATTTAAAGATAAAAATGTATGCTCAGTTTAAGGATCAAAATCTACCTTCACTTTTGAACTGGTTTACTGAATTGATTAGCACTATCGATTTTAACAGATTGTTATGATAAAGTTGTTCGGTGAACTGAGTTAATTTGAAGCATTTCTAATGGTGCCAGAATAGGAAAATATGAAGTTCTTGTAAATGCCATTTAAACATTTCATATAATAAAGAGTACATCCTACAGTTGACTTACGAATGAACTGAAGGTTACAGCCTAATACTTTCTGATTCTTAGTAGTTCTTCAATCACTGTTAGTTTATAACGAAATTTATTTTGAAATTTCATATTTTTATCATCCACTTTATTACAAAAAATTATTATCGATTTACTCCACAACACACAATTTCCAATAAGTGTAACTAATGACAAACGTTTAGTTCATAGTATACCCAGTTCTAATAAACTAGATATTTTTCTATCCTCAAGAAATTCCTACTGATTTTTTCAGTGTTTTTAGCGTTCATTAAGAACTATCAAAACCTATGACTTACAACATATTTGATTCATGAATTTTCTAGTTCGTTGTCAAAATAGTATAAATTACTTTTTCATACAAAACTATTCTGGGCAAAGACGGATGGTGGCTAGAAAGGGAATCCAAGATACGCGTTTCATTCTATTTAGGAATCATCAGCTGGATGTACCTGCATTCCAGAGTCGATGTTCACTCTGGGACTCAAGTACACAATATCAAGTGAATTTAAAACACTTCTGAATTTTAATATTCCTATTATTAGATTAGTAATTATTGAAAATGTCAACGCAATTTAGTTTTTGCTCTGGAACACTTTTTTTTCTTTCCTAATCCGTCTTTCAACTTATTGTTTCTTTCATTAAGACAAAAAAACTAATTTCGGAAATATTTAGCATAGTCAAAAATAGATTATGATTTGTAGATAGGTATTTGACATGCCATACATAATGTGACAATATTTAAAATATTATACTGACAATAGATCAGATACAGGATTGAAATACATATATATACGTAAGTATAATATAAAAATTTATTAACCTAATATGTACAGCTTGTTTGGCGTATTGCAGTGTCATAAAAGTCAATTAACTATGTGACTGTTTCATTATCTATCAAATTACTAGTCAGGTAACTAGTTTAAAAGTGTAAAAATATGTCATAACTAACAAAAGAGACCAAATGATGTGTTAGTGAAGCTCATCTCTAAGTCAATGATTAGTCGTTTATTTAAAAGAGGAGTGAAAAACAGTTTATCGAATCTGAAGATAATATCTGTGATGGCCAAGTATATTGCAAGCAAATTAGTTTTTCGACAACTGACAATATAATCTGAATTTTACAATTAAATACTTCGAAACATTTTTTAGATCATTAGCCTAGATTATTAATTATGTTTTTCAATTATTATGGAAAACCGTATCAAACGTTATTGTTTTTTTTTTCAAACAGCATTCTACAGATTTGACTAATTTACCAGGAGATATTTTCAGTAGTTAATATTCAAATATTTAATAAAAAATAACGAAATGATAGTCAATATTTTAACATTTGTAAAAGTAGGTTTAATAAATACCTATAATTCTCATAAATACCTAAAATGAGACAGATATGCCTGAATTCATCAGATGATAGCCATACGCAGTTGTGGATTAACTGGAGTTAGAAGCATAACTCAACATATTTTAAACGGCTGGTATTAAAGTATAGAATTCGTCACACACAGATTAGCATGAAGATGATGCATCTTAAATGATATGAAAATATAAGATCCTATTCGCAGCCATTGTCAATTTACAAATGTAGATAATATCATGAGATCAGTTAAGGAAGGTAACGCTTTATACTTTCAGAAACTGATCATTTCAGTTATTAATATCAACAACAGTTAAAACCAAAATCCTTTCAACAAAGGAGGATATATATGTTTAGTTCCTATAATTTCTCTTAATACGACTTAGTCGCTCTTGTTGTTTAGCATTGTTGGACAATACTTCATTCGACAAGTCCTCAAATCAAAACATAGTTGAACAGGAACGTAATTGTGTTCCTGATAATTGAATTTGAATGAAAGTATATATCAAAAATGAGAGAAACTTTAGTAAATTTATGCTTTTACAGTTTTCTTCAAGTATCCGCTGGCGCCAACAAACTACAAAATGGGCAATCAGCATGCCCCAACATAATTCTGCACGGAACATGCTTTAAACTAATCTATACCCAGCTAACACCAGTTGTTATAACGAATCAGCCATTCACTATGCCTAACTAAATAATCCTACTTCATGTGAAAACAATTGTCCATTAATTAACAGTGTGAAAAACATTATTTCAGTAGATCATCACTTTCAGCATCTCCGTCAACTCTACTCATTCATAGAGTTCGAAACAAGAATAAGTAGTATTTAATTTTAATTTTTTTTTCAAATAAAAAATTGTCGTTCAGACATTTGTCCTTTCAACTCTTATTCTGTAATACTACAGATTGAACAGCAACTTATGCTTATCAGTTGAATCAGTTAGAAAGAAAAAAAACTAATAAATCACACGGTTGACTGCTTTCTATCATTGGTTTTCATCATATCTCTTTCTTTTGAATTGTCTATTTCACTAGACAAGACCAATATGTGTTTGCTAAAATTAGTGATCATATTTATTGAACAGGGATTAATACACGTCAAGTATCCTCTCCTTTGTTTTATAAAATTCCTGTCGGTTGTCTGTATATACTGCTCACAACCATTTTGTTATTGGAATAAGATTTTTTACTGAGAACATAATGATCATTTCTGTTTTCTATCTAATTGTTATTGGTTTTCCTATGACTGAGTAACGCTACTGTTATGTTTTTTTCCCTAGTAAATCTATTCTTTGTACTAGACAGAAAATAAAACATTGATTTAAAATTTTAAAAATTTATTAGTTTCTTACTTTGTTTTCATTGAATGGTTGACGCCCATCATCCTGTTCAGGTTTGTAGCTTCTTTCGCGTTTAAATGTGAAAGTAAAAGTCTAGGCAAAGAAATACGATTATGGATACTTATTTTTTAGCGTTTTCCGTGAATGAAAAATATAAGAGAAAAGTAATGAGAAATATTGTTTAGAAAAAAAAACCCAAACCGGAAATCATTATTAACAATATTAAAAAATACCCAACATAAACCTAGTGATCTCTATTCAATAATTAAAACAAGCGTTGACATATAAACGTAGTTGAACAACAAATAAACAATACTACATTCTGTTAATACATTTATCATTCTAGTTATACATAGAAAAGCTTTTAAGGGGAAAATGTAATTTCTTTTAAAATGCTAAATTTGATGTCATCCATTATTCATTTTAACATAATTTTCAATTTCAATGGAAATATTGAGAGCATGGTTTTATATGGCTGAATTTGATCTATATCACTGATGTTACTGTCCAGTAATCATATCTCAATTTGATTAGCCATCAGTAAGAACTAGACAACATGATATTTAGTAGTATTTATTGACCTATTAGTGAGACTATTTTAGTTCTGAGTATCAGTCGTGATTTGAATATCTCAATAGTAGTATTTATGATTCTGGAGTTGATTGAACTGTGTTAGAATCTCTGATAAAACATCAGCTCTTATGTGAGTTCAGATGAATGCCATCCAATCGGAAACGTAGATTCAAGGTTTCCTGTAGATTGGCTGAGACTTAGTTCAGTTATCTGCTTCAAGGCACGGTTATATTCAAACTAAAATGAAATATTAATCACTGGGACTGAAGTTTCAATATGGAAAATATGTTTCTTCTTGAAATTTTACCGGTCAATGTTTTGTGTACATTTCATGAAGTTTTTAGATTTTATTTTTGGTTCTCTAAAATATCTGTCATAAAACAATTTCACACTGAAGTAGTGAAATTTTGGTTGACTACATTTATATTTAACACAAAATGTTATTTAACACACTTCTGAGATAAATTTTCATCAGGACATCCATAATCAATTTAATTCAAGTGTGAGCCTTTTCATTTTTTAATGGTGGATGACATATGAAGATGCTATTTAATATAAGTGTTTTTCTTTTTGAACTTACTGACTTGTACGGTTAGTTTCATCTTTGAGCATGTTACTTCTTTTTTCGTTCATATTCCATAAAGTTTAATGATGAAACCAATTTTGTTTACATTTTTGACATTTTGCTTAAGGTAATATGGTCATATGTAGTCATATGTACTTATGAATTGTATTTCGAAAAAACTTTTTTAATAGGACAATAATCTTGTACGACATTTGGATGCATGTGAAACAATGGGTAATGCAACAGCTATCTGTTCTGACAAAACAGGCACTTTAACAACAAATCGTATGACGGTTGTTCAATGTTATTTTGGTGAGAAATTAACCCAAAACACTGATCAATTACCAAAATTGAAAGATTTAAATCATAGAATTGGACACAGATTTGTGCATGGTGTCGCAATTAACAGTAGTTATACATCACGTGTGATTGTAAGGGATTTTTCAGTTTATTAATATGGTTATTATTTTTAATGAGGATATTAAATGATAAATTATTTTTCCAAAAAATATCAGAATTTCTGTGAGAAAAAAGTTTTGGAATAAAGCAATTCAGCATTGAGTTCCTTTAAATTTAATTTTTGCAATCACTTCCATCAGCAACTGACAGAGTAAATCAGAATGGGGATTTGTGGAGATTGTTGTAATATTAGCAGCTAAATTCATAAGTAAATCTAAGCTAGACCGCGTGTGAGATAGTGATTATAAACTGCTGTGTAGACTCATACTAGGACGAAATGAATGTCCAGTGCTTTACGGTTTTCAATGGTGGTCTAACCTAGATCGATTCACGAATTCATCTGTTAAGATAATATTGTGGTGTATGCTACTTATATCGACAGATATATCACCAGTATCACCAGTCGAAAGTGAAATGCCTTGAGGTCGGAGTTTAAAAAATTTGAAGAGAAGAGAGCGAGAACAGAGAATGATTGGTGTGCAAACTAAGGAACAGTCACATCTAAGACAAATAATGGGCATTTCGCAAATGGAGTATTTATTGTATGGTTCTCAGATTTTACTAAGAGATTCTGTAATTTTGTGTTGAAATACATTTGGTTGTCCCCATTAGTGTTTTCGTTCACTACAGTATATAAAAATTATGCCTATGTTAAGCACCATAATTATGGATCTATGTATGAAATTGGTTAACGATTACTCCAGATACAAGAGAGTATCAAAAAACGACCCAACAATGTATGTTCTTGAGAGTCTTCATCATTCAGTCAATGGAGAAACATCGTAAGATAGTGACCAATTAATTTATTGTAAATACACAAAAAGAAAATCCTTTTTATTTGCAATTGGTTATCTAAGTCAACCAAATACCAATAATGAAACTACTTTGTAGTAGTAAACAAGAGTTGGTCGGAATTAGTACACAATAAATTCATCAATAATTCTGTCTCATTAAGTAAAATTCATTTTTACTTGAAAAAAAAGTTTTTTTCTGAACAAAAAGAAATTTGCCTAATATATTTTCTGTTTTTTTCAAAACACTCGTATTATTGTCTTAGATTCCAGACAAACCAGGTGAATTACCACAACAACTGGGAAATAAAACCGAATGTGCTTTGCTTGGATTTGTACGCCATTTAGGCGTAAATTATGAGAACATACGAGAACGGTGGCCACAAGAAAGTTTAGTGAAAGTATTCACATTTAATTCTTTACGAAAGTCAATGAGTACAGTGATTAAAAACTTGGAACCTGATAGGCCAGGTTATACTGTTTTCACTAAAGGTGCTTCCGAAATGGTTTTAAAAAAGTAAGTTATGAAATCAGGCACATTTTTTAACTGGATAATTACTATTTGATTATTTATAAATTTTTTAATATCTAAAAGAATGTGACTTTATAGATGGTTTTATTTTTGTGATTACAATCCGTGAGATGTCTTACTAATCTTTCATTTTACCAACTTATAACTTTAATATCGAACGGTAATTATTAGAATTTGTTTGACAACACTGATTAATCATTCACTGAAAGAAGTAAAGTTTCTGATTTTGCTTCTTTATAAGAGCGAATCAATGGTCAAAGGTTTAAAATAGTATCCTCTGTTGTGGTCAACTTGTAACGAGTGTCATTAACAAGATAATTTGATAGTAGTTCATTGCATTTTAAAACCACAATAAACTGGGGTATTTGTTGTATGTATGCCATAATTATTTTGCCTATTTAAAATAATAGTTATCCTGAAGTTGATTTGAATGCTTATTCTCCCATTAAAATTTCAGATGTAGTTTCATCCTGGATGCTAATGGTGAACCTAAACCATTTAGCAAATCTCATCAAGATAATTTAGTTCGAGATGTAATTGAACAAATGGCTAGTAATGGACTACGTACCATAGGTATTGCATATAAAAGTTATATAGATCCTAGTAAGTTATATTTTATTAGTCTTTTTTTCTTTAAGAGTTCGATTTCTAAATTATTTTATTCCATTTGATATAATGTTTATTTGTAACTAGAATTATTGAAAAGGGTGTCTAAAGCTATTTAAAAATTAAACATGCATATTATTTATGCTTTGTAAGGTAAAACGTTGTCCATCTTTCATTTACTCTGTTACTGAGACATTTCTTTATAATATTACATTGGACATATTCGGGATAGGTATTCATTGCAAATTTGTAAATGTTATAGATAATAGAGTAATAAGGACAAAAATACTAAATCATGTCTAGGTTGGCTTGCATTTGCTATCATTTTTAAAGTGCTTCCAGGTTTTCTGTAGTGGTCTAGCTTTAAATGATTCATGAATTCAACTATTAAATTTTAAAGCTTATTAACAAATATGTAGACATAACTGTACAACAGAATCGAATAAGAAAGGTGTATGAAAGTGTGTAAAAGTCAAAATTATTGTCAAGGATGAATACATATGGGCGAAATGATTTTACAGAAGCTTTCATCTTAATTACTTAGTATTCGCATGTATTCACAGTGATTTGCGCAATTAGTGAGTTATAAGCGACGTAGGATTTGTCACAATTCATATTAGGACAGTTACATGGGTTTATCAGGACTGTGAAAACGAAGTCAAGCTGAAGTGGGAAATTAATTGTCGGCCATTTGGTTAGAAAATGAGAACTTAATTTTAGTGCGAGAAATATGAAATAACTGTTAACTAAGTATTCCAAAGCGAGATAATAAACATGTAACATTTATAGTCTCTCATCAACACCCAATAACTTTACGAAGTGATGACGTGTACTATTTTGGTAGCTCTTATTCTTTGTTAAATTACACTTCATACCACATGGTATTGAACTTCAGGGTAGATATTGATTAAAAATACAAAACGTATTTACCACCCACCTTAGTTAACGAAGTTTATTTTTCTACCTAATACCGTACGCCATGCTTCGTTGTTATCTTTTCGGTTGTCATTTTTTTTAAAAACAACTTTTATAAAATAATTGCTCTTTGCAGGAAACCTGGATACTCAGCAATAGTTTTTTCGTCATAAGATTGTGGACTGTATTTATACTTTTTGATTCATTGATAGACATCTTAAAAATGTTATGCATAGTTTAGGATGAAAAATGCAAGAAAGCTTTCAGTCCAACCTGTTGTTTGAAACTGATGTTAATGGAGCAAGGATTGAACCATTTGTTCCAATTACTCTTTTCAAAAGCTTGGGTATATTTCTGAAAATTCCGTTTATTTTAAAACGATTAACGTTACGAAACAAATTTTGTTGAGAAAGTAATGAAAAGTCGTTACCTCTTAGTATAGAACTTCTCAGTATTGCAAATTCTCAATCTCGCAAGGAATCAAACCGTAAGCTTCATATTGAGCACTCTGACTTGAAGTCGTATTGAAGGATTGATATTTCCAAATGTATTAGATTTATTATATTGTTCGACTGGGATTCACTACCAGTTGTAATAACTATCTCACTCTGTACATCACTGAACCTCATAACCATGATATAAAAGATTCGCACCAATCACTCGTCCAAATGATTTTCAGATAACAAATTATCACCGAACTTGAATAGAATGACAATTTATAAAAATTTATAGGCCATAGAATAATTTTCAACAAACTCCGTGATAATGGTTGATTGATTAAAAATAAAATTACTATTCAGTTTATTTCATTCACATAATGTAGTTACTTGTTTTGAATGCCGACTTCATAAGTGACAAAAATAATAACTTAATATTTTAAATGGCTTATTTCTTAAGTTTTAGAAAATTTTGTAAAACATATTTGATTTCTTTTTTTCAAACGGATGAGATTAAAACACAGACAACAAACATAATTACAATAGAATAATATAGAACTGTGAAAAATAGCTTCAAATAGGTTAAGGATATAATTATAGTTCGGCTTAATTTGATGAGACAATGTTTTTTTTATAAAATGAAGTCTCGATCTACAGACAATCATCATTAAATTTTAATAATTTTGTTAATGAATTGTTGTAAACTCAGAGAAAGATTGAGAATAATAATGAGCGGAATATGTTCATCGAAAAAAAATTGATACACTTATTAAATACACTTTGTACATCATTTTAGCTGGATAAATTAACAGACATTCTTTCTTTTATCATTTGTCAATTTGGACGATTGAAAAAGATACAGTTTTTTATAAACTGCTATAAGCATTGTGTGCTTAGCGTCATGTAAATCGTGTTTCATTAACTTTAGCAACGTGCGAATATGAACTACATGCAAATGATACTGTTATATCTTATGACCTTTGTGCTCTGTTAATATATCAGGCGATACGAGTCACAGACTTATTGATCAGACCAAAGATGCATAAACCATTAGAGTTCTTATTGGTCCTTGAGAAAGCAGCTTTTCGTCTAACCCAGCCGATTCAGTCCAGGACGCAAATATTAGCCTCCATTATATCGAATCATATATTTTAGAACATACTTGGTTTACATACAAGTAAATTCAGACTATAGTGCAAGATCAAGCCGAACGTGACTGTGATTGTGAGAAACTGTGACTAATAGATTGAGAATAAGTTGAGAATAGAAAGACATATAACAATAAGCAATAGATCAAATAAAAGCTTATAATAAGAGAAATACAAAGATATATGGTTTAGTTTCTTACCAGTTAAACGATAAGAATATATGTACAATATCAATCCATAGATAATTCTCGGACTTTACCCATAACTTAATCTTCTCTAGGATATAACAGATACATATGTAGTCTTATAATAACAATGTTGCATGGTTTGTTTCAATCGATGACTAAGAAAATATGTGCATATTGTGTTTTATTGAATTAAACAAGTGTAAAATAAAACTGAATAACTAATATTGACAGCTTGATATCATATCATATCATATTCTAAATTCATAATTGAAAATATCTAAACTTATCGTCTTATATATAGCGTAGCAATATGAAACAAAATATCACAGATTAATTTTTTCCTATAAATATTGGAGTTTTTTCTCTTTTGAACATAATGAATTGAATGAAATCTTCAGTGGTTCACTAGCTCATGTATCTATATCAATCAAATTTTTTGAATGATAAAACCGAAGTTGAAAACCTATCTGTACTATAAGATAAGAAAACAAATTCTATTTTCAATAATAGTCTTCTAATCTTTTTTAATCAACGAATAATGATTCTTGATGACAGTAATAGAAGATCACTATTCATGTAATATTTGATTATATAGAATAAATTAATACAAAAAATTATGTTAAATACTTCTTTTAAAAATTTTCAAGTGTTTGTATTCTTAATAAATTAGGACTAATGTTTAAAGTATTGACATGGATTGTTTTATTCTTTATTTTTATAAAAGCTGTTGGGCTATTTTCGAATGAGGTTCCTCTAAATCGTGGACAGACACCTGATTTTGATGATGAAGATACTATCGTTTCTGATTTAACATGTATTGGAATAGTCGGAATTGAAGATCCTGTACGACCAGAGGTTCCTGCAGCCATAAGAAAGTGTCAACGCGCTGGGATCACTGTACGTATGGTAACCGGTGATAATGTCAACACAGCGAGATCGATAGCTGCTAAGTGTGGCATTCTTAAACCAGGTGATAACTATATTGTGTTAGAAGGAAAAGAATTCAATGCTCGTGTACGTGATCCACGTACAAATCGTGTTAGACAAGATTTAATGGATCAAGTATGGCCACAATTAAGGGTTCTTGCACGTTCTTCACCACAGGATAAATATACTTTAGTAAGTGGGATTATAGACAGTCATATTTCAACTCGTCGTGAAGTTGTTGCTGTAACTGGAGATGGCACAAATGATGGACCTGCATTGAAAAAGGCTGATGTTGGTTTCGCTATGGGTATAGCAGGAACAGATGTTGCAAAAGAAGCTTCAGATATTATATTAACAGATGATAACTTTACAAGTATCGTTAAAGCTGTTATGTGGGGAAGAAATGTATATGATTCTATTTCAAAGTTTCTTCAATTTCAACTAACTGTTAACATGGTCGCTATTATAGTTGCATTTGTTGGTGCGTGTCTAATAACTGTAAGTTAAAGAAGAAATATTTTTAGATATAAATTTAGATTTAATCTATGTTGTACCGGTAAAATATTGTTTTTAGTCACTATTAAATTGGTATTTATTGGCAAGAAACATTCACTGAGATGTTTATATGTGATCGTTAACAAGGATAATAAATAAACTATCTAAATTTCCCTTCAATAATTTCCAAAGAAAAAAAGCATAGTTCTAGTTGTCTTTAAATTATTGTATAAAAAGGTTACATCCATAATATAATCTAAGATGAAATTTAATTCCTTTGGCCTTATTTCAAGTAATTAATTAATAAGGTTACAGATGTAGAAAGAAAAAATGGAATCAAATATGGATACATAGTAAATTAAATTAGGAAATCATTCGATATTCAATATGAGAATGTAATTTTTGAAAGAAGAAGAAAAAGAACACTTTGAACTCATATTCAATGATACTTTGGAAAAGAAAATTATTTGACTCTTAAAATATTGATATCTTGACAAATTAGTAGAATGTTTTAAATCAACATCAATGATGTATAATAAAGGAATATAACATATATTTAAGGTACATATTTATATGGAATAAACATAGTTGAAACGATAGTTTTGTTGTTTAGTTTCATTCGAAGAATTTATTTAAATTTTAACAAATTAAATGATAAAAGTATAAATACAAGATATTATTTAAGTGAAGCATGTTTCAAAGATATAATCTTAAATTGTAATGCTCAGTTTACTCAAAAAATCTTATTTTTTTATATAATGTCCTGAAATGTCGAAATAATGTATTACCATTTACTAAGAAAAAATAACTTCAACGTTACCAATGTTGATCTTAGTTTAATAGTTTAATTCATGAGTCGATGTTAGCAAGACCACCATTGAAAACGTGGAAGTACTGGACGGCCATTTTGTCCTAGTATGGAACTCCTCAGCGGTGCACACCCACACGCAATACTCGAACCAAAGACCTTCAGTTTAACGCTCGAACTCGAACTGGGTTAAGACCTAAAGGTCTTAATGTCTAACATCAACCGATCCATGATCTTGCTCAACCATCCATCCATTGTCTGAAGTAAATACTTGTCTCTACCTGACACAGATTAGACTCCACTGGTTACAACCCTTTGTCTGAGGTATAAACCTGTCTCATGAATTCAACTATTAAAATCACTACAATCCCCCACAAACCCCCATTCTAATAATATTGTTTTAACTAAATATTTGGATATTTTATATTATCCTCTGTAGTATATTGAGCAATATTTGATTAACTTAAAGAGATATAAGTTACCATTTGTTATTAGTTAACTTGAGCTAGTCACTTAATTTTAGTGTGATGTAGAAGTATAATTGGTATCACAAGATGAAATCTTATGAACCATGAAGTTTATTACAATATCTTGAAGATTTTGAATCATAAATACAGAATTCAGTGTAGAAAAAAGCAAAATGTATAATAGGACTATGTATCCAATTCTTTGGGCATAAAAAACAAGATTTTAAAATTCCATACATTATGATTATTTTCATGTTAATTGCATATGATAAAAGGAGATAAACAGTTAAAACTATTGTACAGTGAATAACAGTACTAACTTTGGAATAATTAGAAAAATTTAATTGTTGCGCAGAAGATACTACATTTTAAAAATTTCATGTCAACCTAACAAATCATAAAACATAGTAAACAAAATATTTTTCATCAAAAAAAACATAAATTATCCGTTTTGCGAAGAAATGAAAAGAACTATGTAATCAAGAAAGAAGAAATGAATATTATCATTAAAATATGTTTGTCAGGTCTGTCATCAACATTTATAACATCCTAAATATTAAGAGATGTAAGTATCAAGCTCGTATAAAAGCTGCTTAAAGATTCCAGTGAAATTATCGAAATTATTTAAAATCGGAGTAGTCCATGAACACATAGAATCGTCACATTATCTATTCTGTGAATTAAAAGATCGGTTAAAATGAAAATGGTTATTATTGTAAAGTTAGCTATAACAGTCGGTGTGGTTTGTGCTACTGATGTCGACAGATATAAGCAGTATGTATCACCAACTGAAAGTGGAATACCTGAAGGCCGGAGGTTAAGAAAACGGCAACAAAGAATGATTGGTGTACAAACGAAGGAACAGTTAAATCTGAGATAATTGATTGACATTTTGCAAATAAAGAATTTATTGTATGGTCCTCAGATTTTAATAAGAGATTCTGGTTGTCCCCACCAGTGTTTTCATTCACTATATCAGTACCGACGTTTTTTATTCGCATGATTAAGCATTGATAATTATTTTTCTTCATATCAGTATACTAAGATATTGCTAAAATGTAATTCAAATGTGAAAAATTGAAATCGTGAATATGCGAGACACAAAGCGGATCAATCATAATTCAGAGGTTTGACATTTGACTCACTTTAAATCGTTAGATGTATCAGCACAGTCTTCGTTTTTTAACGAAACGGAAAAATGGTTGGCAACTATACACTTATAGAACACATTTTTAAAATATCAGTACTAATATAATTAGTATTTCAACTCTATTAAATCGTAAATCGATAGGAAAAGTTGTAAGGCAATTGGAGAGAATCGATGATGAATATTCAACTTCCTGTTTGTTTGATGTAATTAAAAAATACTGGCGGACTTGAATATACCAATCAGAATCAAGATAAGTCCTCAAGTGTGCTACGCGAAATTTAAAGTACAGTGATAGATAACTTGTATGTTATTAATAGCCAGATGAAAAGCGATAATAGTTGATTCTTTGAATACTCGGGATCAACAAAATGTCTATGATATAACCAAAATGTTGTTCTGAGATGGTGCTTAAACTAGATGACAAAACGTACCTAGTATTAGTGTCTAAGTAGTTAGTTTGATTTAATGAGTAGTTAAGAGTGTTTAGTGAACTTAACTCTTTATAAAAATTCCAACCTCAAGTTTCTAAAGTCTGTAAACAGAAGGGTTGCCGAACATTTCATTATGACAAATGTCAGTCTGGAATAAAAACTCCAACTCTAATTTGTGAACCCAACTCAAAACTCCAGCCTTTACTTTAATGAATAGTTTGCGATATGATGGTTAATGGTTCAGATCAGATCTGTTATTCCCCAGTTGTTTTTTTGCTTTTGGTTGTTAATTGTTTTATTTAGCATTGCCTGATTGGTTGATAGCTTATCCAAGATTATCAGCATATTATACTCTTACTATTTGTGCCTATAATGTAGTTGAGAAAAATAAGAAAAACGTCTTTAATGAATGTAAAACGATTAGAAGTTATATCTTCAGATACACATTTTTTTAAAAATACATACTTCTGCTGTTTGTGATGATATGCATACTTACAAAGAAGATTGAAAAAAATATTTGTGCAAATTAAATGAAGTTATTATACTTTTCTGGAAGCTATATTTTATGTTCATTTGAGAGTTTAATCAAACTAGTTTGTTATATGGTTTAAATAAATAATTAATTTTTATAATTACATTTTCATTGTCCATTAAACAGGATAGCCCACTTAAGGCCGTTCAAATGTTATGGGTCAATTTAATCATGGACACTTTGGCGTCATTAGCCTTGGCGACCGAAATACCAACAGAAGAGTTACTTGAACGAGCTCCATATGGTAGGACAAAGCCTATTATCAGTCGTAATATGATTAAAAATATCATCGGGCAGTCTGTTTATCAACTAAGTGTTATTTTCTTTCTAATATGGTTCGGTATGTCAAGCGCTTGCTTATTAACTATTGTTTAATTTTTGAAATTATATTGATTTTAAATCTGGTTACAAAAACGACAAATCAAAATAGTACTTTTTTCTGATCTATGAATTCGAGTATATTTTCGTCTGTTGCACTTATATTACTTAATAAATTTTGAGTAGATAAACATCGAAATGAAATAAAGCCATAAAGTTTCATTTTATAAAACAGATTGTAATACCAAGTTATTGGATTAATAAACTATTGCGAATAAATTTTTAGATGCTTGTTGTTGGGGTACTTTGAAATTAACAACGTAAATTTTATTTGTAATGCAGATATTAATATTCGTCAAATGTGTTCTGTTTCCCATTGTTAAATTACTTTCTGAATAAGTTAATCTTTATCACATTTTAGTAAAAAAATTGCCGACGTACTCTCCCAATTTCATTTTTCGTTTCAAGTGACTGCCTTTCAATTATTTAATGAGTCGCATCAATAGAGTTTTCCTTTTGCAGTACATGTGTTTGTGAATAGGGAAAATAAAATGATTTATCCAGTATTTCAGGACTCCAAACAAAATATATCGTAACTTATGGTCAAGCCTTATATATATATATATATATATATATATATATATATATATATATATATATATATATATATATATATAAAGTTTCTTCGAATCTACTTCTTATCATAAATATTTGCATTTAGTAAATCATTTTAGGCTCATGACAATCAATCAACAAATAGATAAACAATAAGATATTGCTCGACCGTCCATCATTTTCTTCAGTGAGTAACTGCCTCATAACAGACACGTTTGAACTCTACTGGTCACGACTTCTTACCAGAACTCCAGGAAACGCTGTTGTAACTTAGGTAGTTACTTACTGAAGACAATAGTGGACGGTCGCTCAATTTCATGGATTGGTTGAAGTGAGACATTACCAACATTGGATCGCGACTCAATGGCCTGGAGGTTAAGCGTCCGTGCGCGAAGCCGAAGGTCCTCGGTTTGAGTCCGGCGTGCGGTTTCGCAGATGAGCAATCCCGAGGAATCCCATGCTAGGACGAATGGCTCTTCCACTGTTTCCAGGTTTCCAATGGTAGTCTAGCTTACATCGACTCATGAATTCAACCATTAAATTACTACAATCTCCACAAACCCCCATTTAGATATGCGACATATTTACTTGACAAAGATTTGATTCTAGCTGCTTATGTAAATTTTCTTAGTACTCCATTAACTATACTTTGTTTGATACGACAATAATACGAGATAAGGTATAAATGGTCAATAATAATAAATTTAGTGTAGTTGTGTAATTTGGTCACTAATTGTGACTATGTGAGACGTGAAAGATCTAATTTAGGATCTCATAAACAACCGAAGTTAATTCACTGCATCAATTAAAAATTAATTTTGGTGTTACATTTACTTGTATTCTTTATTTTATGACCATTCTTTTATTTCCTAAAACCCTTAATATTTCTGTTCTACGTGTGCTTTTTATTGTTACAATGTTTTCACCTATGTACTTTTCCTCTCAGGTGAATTACTGTTAGATGTTGAAAATGGTCGTGGTTTAAGTGCTAAAGGTATAAATCGTCCAACAGAACATTTTACTGTGATATTCAATTCATTTGTTATGATGACATTATTTAATGAAATTAATGCTAGAAAAATTCATGGACAGCGAAATATATTCTCTGGATTAACTAACAATTTATTATTTGTTATAATTTGGATTTCGACATTTATACTACAAGTAAGTTGATTCCTTCGGAGAATAAATATCAGAAAGAATGGTTTCCTTACTTAGTTGTTTACTAGGACACAGTTCTATCCTTACATTGTTACGATAATCATTTTTAAAACTGAATTTCACATACATCATTTTAAAGCTCATCTAAAAAGGTATAATCCTTCATTGTTCACTATACATAATCGTCTGTCAGTGATGAATTATAATAAAGCTTGCAAGCTAAATATCTGTTTGGGGTGGTTTTTTACATAAAATCTTTAAGCAGCTTTAAGTGTATACGATTCCATTACCTCTAGATATAAAGGAATAGGTAGATTTTTGTTTTTATACTGTTTATGATTATTTGTACCAACTTTTTTCTCAGATTCATACTAGAGTCTAAAATATAAATACTTAACTAACCATACTGCTATTAAGCGTTTTAATGAAAGAAAAAAGAACATATCAAATCAGGCAGATATGGAAAATATAACACTTGACGTGATTATCCATCAATTCAGTTAGCTTATTCATATAAGCTATTCATATAAGAACACGAATGGAAACAATCGAACGTATTTGAGCACAAAATTACAGAGCATCTCACTAAAATCTGAGAACCATACAGTAAATCGTTAATTTGCAAAATATCAGTCCATCGTCTCAAACTTGGCTGTTCCTGTTGCAAACATCAATTCACTTTCTCAGATTTGATTGTTCATGCATTTTCATACCAATTGCGTTCCCTTCCCGTTCTTTCCTCATTGACCTTCTACTGAAATACATTTAATGCCTGGCCACCGTCATATACTACTTGTGTGGATATAAATAACCCACACTACAAGGAAATTCGACAAGACATATAGTAAATGCGTAAAAATACCAGTGATGTTTATGAAATATGTATGCCAAAACGTTAATAATTACGAAAAATTTATCCTGAAAATCAACCATAAGCTAGCCATTTTCTTTAAATGAGTCGTTGAGTTGGTCTGTACTCATTTAATAATACTTTTAAGCAAAAAGAAGTTAACAATTCATTACTTCATAATAGCCTAAGTCGTCAGTCATTGTGAAATAAATTTTTTATTGAGATTTCTACTACTACAAATTTAATGAAACCTATATTGCATCAATTAGTTCTCTAAAAGGGAATTCAAAATATCTTCAATTAGTCTATTGGTTCAAATATACCTGTTTAATTCATGTTGGAAAATTTAAAAATGTTTATTACTAACTTCAAAACATAGTATACTGATAATGATTGGATGATGAAATGTTTTTAATATAAAATTGTACGTAAAACATGTAAATTGGATGGATTATCAGGTTTTTCAATATGTTGATTTACAAACATTCTAAGCATCTATGAAGTAGACCAATTATTTGCCGAGTGAAATATTAAAGTGATGTTTTATTTTGTTTATGAACGTTTCAAATAGTTACTTGCACTAATCTCATTTCAGTCATATGTGATAACATTGGTAAAGAGATTTACAACTAAGTAATTTATTAGATTGTTCGTTAACATCGATAAATCTGTTGATACTGTAAACTGTTGTTGTTTAATTAATATCAACTACTGACTTATTCCCTGTACTCCAATTTGCCGATTGACCAGATAAGTAAATCGTATAAAACTCATTGTTATTTTGATACAAATTCTGAACCACTGATAAATTACTTATGGGTTTATAGTTAACATATAAGTAGATCATCATCTGCAGTCTTGTACTGTTTTTAACATTTAGTGATATCGGTCCTTGTTCAGTTATATAGAGATAAGTAACTAGTTGTATCTTCAGGATATAATAAGTGGCTAAACCAGTAGTCAATCCAGATAGAGAATTAATCACTGGAACGAAGTAAAACACTGTATTGTATTTAGGTGTTTATTCATTGAAATGCATAATGTGATAAACAATTCTATGTAAAAAAGTTTCTTTTTGATAGTAGGTATGTAAGGTTTAAAATGAAAATAAAGTTCATTATTTGCTAAGAGGTGTGTTTACGTTGAAAACAAATAAGAGACTATTAGAGGATTCCAAAATTTGATTAAAAACAACATTATCCTAAGGAATATGTTCATTAAACGATACTTATTACCTCTTTTCTACTCTATAATCTTAGTATGTATTCTTGAACTAAGTAATCTTGGGAACATATAGTTCATGTTAGATGATTTTCTTTCACATTACCCTTAATATTTTAAATTATATATCATCAGAAAAGTTATATCCCACTGATAAGTATTTAAGTATATTCATATTATTAATCTTAGAAATCCAAATCACGTGTTAAGTTACATCGGGTTCAGAAAACATTCAATACACCATGAATATTCAGAATTGCTACTACTTTATCTCCAGAATACTATTGCTAATAAAGAATGTATCATATATGATTTCAGAAAAGACAAAAATGGGTAATGTCGAAAGCCAATTCAAAATAGATTCTTAACAGAGTTTCTGTCGATATGAGGAAGCTGACAGATATGTTTAGGCCAGGAAATGTGTTTGATTATTTTCTGACTATCGTAACCAATGGTTGGAGACTGTGAGTGGCATGGCTCAGAATCGATCACAATGGCATCGGTGTATACACTCTTTGTTTTCCCTTAAACTATGAGAATAAAATTATTTCATATCTTTCTTCCGACGAACTAATTCTTCCTTTCTTTATTATATCTTAACATAAAATCTTTCTTTTATATATTACACCATTGAGTTAACTGCTTCTATGAATCCAGTGTTCGTCTTGCTGTGCTAATGAGGTGTGGCAGCTTGGACTGATGCATGTTTATGTCTAGTCCTACGTTGTAAATGACTGACTGACTGAAATAATATAAAACAATGTCAATGTACTATTTACACTAACTTATTCTGTTTTTTTTATTCAATGTATTGAAAATAAAAGAAACTTATTTAATTTTTCTGTGATCATGAACTTAATTGAAATAATCTTCATTAAGAGTTTTACCTTTGTGCATACTTTTTTTTATCTTTCTAGGTTGTAATTATTCAGTTTGGTGGCTATGCATTTAGCACACGGCCATTAGCTTTAGAACATTGGTTATGGTGTTTATTTTTTGGAATAGGCACTCTACTCTGGGGTCAGGTTTGTTAAAAGTTTTCATTGATATTATTTTCATCATTATTATTATTTCGATAGTTGAGATCATGAGTCAATTGAAGCTAGACTACCATGGAAGACCTGGAGACACTGGACAACCGTTTCGTTCTAGTATGGAGCTCCTCAGCAGTGCTAGTCCACAATCTCGCTCACGGGACTCGAACCAAAGACCTATCATTTCATTGTGGTCTAGCTTTAATTAACTCATGAATTCGACTTTTAAATTATTATAATATTCAAAAAAAACCGTTTCTGATGTGAAAAGATGTGAGAAACAATTCATTCCGTTTTCTTTTTTTCACCATTCATTATTTCTAACTCAAGGTTATTATTTCAATACCAGTATGGATAATACCAAAGAGAAGACGTAAAATAGCCAAGTCAAGACGTTTAACATTAATTGCAACACAGGATGCATTGGGAGTAGAAACAGACGGTCTAGTTACTCAAGATTTTGTACATCCACAACTTGCAGATGGTGGTGTGGTGCATAGAGCTAGTACAGGTTTTGTTAGTAAAGCGGCAAATGCGGTTGCTCGTGGTTTTGGTGCAATTTATACACAACCTGAAGGTGAGGAAGAAGAGGAAGAGGAAGAGGAAGATGAAGAAGAAGATGATGAAGATAGAGAGGATATAGTTGGTGCCAATCTACGTAATACTGGCCAAATATTATGGATTCGAGGCTTATCAAGATTACAAACACAGGTACGTTTTTTTAGTAAATAAACTATATGATATAATATGTCATTAAGTTAGTTAATCTTATGCATCTAATCAGTTGACAAATATATGGGTTACTTCAAGCAGTCACATAATCATCAACACAACCTCGAGAAATCTCGGAGAACTGAAAATAGTAACAGTATCAGTAGGAGTATAAACCAACCTATATATAGAAAAACAGTATGAAATTTTGGGACTTATGATCTAAAGGAAGACAAGGAGTTATGTTGTGCGTGATATCTTAAAATAATTCCGATAGCAAGTGTTAGAAACACAACTACTTCATTCAAGAAAAGCGAAGTGTTCGGTGGGTGACAGAAAATCACTCATGATCTTGCTTCAGATATCACAAGGACGTTGAACGTAATTTGTTTTGCGTTGGTAGATATAACTAATCTACATTTCCAGTATTAATTTGAATATCATTATTCGAATATTTTAAGATACGTTATATACAAATTGAAATAAACACCTTTTATCTAGTAAGCATGTGGTTTTGCTTTGAAATAAAACTTCATTCCGTAAGTCTACATTGTTATATTCCTCTTTTAACTTGAAAAAATTTCAAGCATTCTTCTTGAAGTAAATGATCTCATTGTTTTCTGTAAAATTAAGGTATATGTAAATCTCTTCTAGTATAAGATTTTCACTGCATAGTGCAGAAATACTACAGAATATATGATTTCTCGTATATTAAACATTAAATTATTGAAATATTTTTCCAGATTCTGACACATTTCATCAATATCAAACTAGTTTATTTTGACACACTTTAGGTGATAGCTGACAATAATAACGAATACCACATGTTTGGACATATTTAATTTTTTTTTAAATCAGTCTATAAATGCCTTGATGTTATTACTCAGAAATATAAAGACAACCCTCTGTTTCATAGATTTAGATACTCTCTACATAATTACAATTGTCATGACATCTAGTTTCGACATTTGTAAACGAAATATGCTAAAAAATAAATAAATTTATAAATAAACATTTTTTTATAAATAAATTTATAAATACCAAATAGGTGATCAAATCATAGAGCAACCTATAAGTACTAAATCCTTCTAAGTTAATATTAATGATAATAACGTTAGTGTTTACTGTGAATTATTTGGCTTGAAAACACTTAGTAGTAGAGGACGTTCGTTGACTACTACCTTGACTGTATGTGCGTATTTCTATGTATGAGATGAGAAAAATTAAGGCAATACTGTGTGTATATTCATGTTTGATTGTAACCAACTGCCCTTATTGCATGAATTACGGTTTAATCTGAAAAGGAAATTGTTTGACAAATAATCATTTTTTTAAAGATCAATTCTAACGACGAAATAAAAATAAACACTACATGTACATTCAACTACATAATTAAATGTTAACTTATGTAAGCCAGTTGAGTTGTTCAGTAATTTTCTATACTATGTATACTTAATGTCGTATTCTGTTGTTAAATGCACGAATTTTAAACGAAACAAGGATCAGATTATGAAAACACTTTGTCTGCTTACTATTGTTTCTTTTTGTTGTTGTTTGTATTTCTTAAATGTTTATTGTACTTCGAATTTACTTGTCTTAACATGATCACTTCATTATCATAACATAAATAAAAATGATAAATTTTTGTAAACAACATAAAATGAATTACATTCTTCTTAATATTTTCTTATATTTTCATTTTGTTTATTTTTTTGAAAACATCACTCTTACTAATGAATACATCATTACTATAATGATGATGAAATTATTTGCATAAAATAAATTGAATCTATGAAATTAAACTAATTAGTGTTGTTTCATATTAAATGTTAAATCGTTTCATATGTTGTCATATTTTATATTTAATGTCATTTGTTTTGTTTACATTCTAATCATTTGGATTAATTTCATACACACGACGATTAGTGCATCAATCTGTGTTCTTGCTCTTTTTAACATTTGGATTAAATTAACAAAAATGTTGAAAAAGAAAACACTTTTTTTTCATGCTTGGTTTGTATGGTGTACATATAACACATAATAATATAAGTGAATTTTGTGCAAAAAGGTATTGGTTGAGTAATTTAAAATTCTTAAATAAAAATTGTATGAAATATACGAGAAAAAAATGAAGAAAAACTAATCATCTACGCTGATATCATATAGCACTGACTAGATTCATGGATAATCATTCTGAATTCATAACTGATACAGTCTTGTATGTATATTATAACTGTAATAGTAACACTAAATTAAATCATTATAGTGTTAGGATGTGTACAGATATTTTTTTCAAATTAAAAAGTTCATTAAAATTATTTTATATTTTCTGGAGAAAAATTTTTAAAAAATAATTCTCTTAAATCAAAACTTAAATGATTCGATTCATGGAATAAATTTAAATGACAGTTTTATTTGGTGTCATTAATCTCTTATTTATTATCAAACATCTATTCTTTGTAATAATTTAATGTAGAGAAATATTTTAAAAAGTTGCCAATTAAACTGACTAATTTATTGATAATTGTTCAATACTAATTTTGTAGAATCACTTTTCTTAAAGTTTAAGATTAATTTCCATCATGAGTTAAGTTTGTCGTTCTCACAGGTTCTTCAGTTAATGTTACATGATAAAATCCTTTAAAGTGGTTGTTTTCTAACTCTATTATGATCGAATTGTTAATAGAGTAAACAAAATGTATACTTTGCTCATGTTCTGTCTACAAATCCTGTCCAGAATAATGCGGATACAAAATGTTATCTACAAGTGTTTTAAATGTTCATATTACATAAATTCATTTCGTCAGACGAACGAAGGGATGAAAAACGGAGAAGCCAGATGGTTATGCCTAAAGTATTACTGATAACAGATATTAGTATAACTCAAAGCAGATAATGCATATTGCAACAAGGAGACTGGCATTGGATAAAATAAGTGTACAGACACATACAACAACACATGAAACGTATAAGTGCAGAGCCACAGTAACATGAAAATAAAAGTTATATGTACTGAAAGTCATAATTCCTTATGAATAGAATAATTATTACAAAGGTAAAAATGACTTAATAGTCACATTCTGAGCTATTCAATTCTATCCAATAGTAGGGATTTGTGTACACAATAATGTATATGTAATAATATAGAGAAACTGCTACATTCTTGCTATTCTGTAGATTTAATATAACCTCTATATTAATTTATACTTTGACATCAAAACAGCTTATGTTACCATTCTTTATTACATTGATTTTTTTTATCATCTCATAAACTTTAGTTCCTAAGAAATAAAATGTTAAAAACAATATAGACAATCACATATGAGTGTTAGAAAACACATATTAGTTTATTAACTCGTTAAGTTCTAGTAGTACTAATACTTACATTATATTTAAATAAAAATGTTTCACATCTCAACTAATAACCTAATTCACTATTCATTATATCTATTTGATACGTAAAAAAAGGTGAATAATCTTTACTATGATTTTTTTTCAGTTTTTTTTTTTACAATTTCATAATTAAAATTATTTAATAAATCTAAATCTGTTGAAATGGCATTGTAAAATTTAGTTAAGTTCATTAACTTGACAGTTGTTTTTTTTTCTTTCTCCTGTCCTTTTCTTTCTTTCATTTGTAATATCCTATCCCTCTCCATATATGTGGTTCGAATCGGACAATTCACGTAATCATCGTTTTTGAAAATAATAATAATTACAAAAAAAACATAATGGTTTAATCACATTTGGTATACCATTTATATATATATATAATACAATTGATATATTTAATATCAATTTATATGATTATGTTCGATGTGTTTTTATTTTTATTTGTTTTTACAATCCAAACCCTGTACACCAATTCACCTTTGACCTGCATTTGAATGCCTTTTTATTTATCCTTTAAATAATACAATGAAAAAATATATATTCCTTTCTTTTATTTTTGTTATTCTTTATCTTAATCCCTACGCTTCTTTTTTTTTTCTCTTAAATGTTCCATAAAACATTTATTTATCTTTTAATAATAATTTAATTAATATTTTTATTCATGAAATGTTGAATCTTTTTGTTTGTTGAACTTAATCATTATTTCTGTCTTGTAATAACATTTGTTCATGAATGAATGAATCTATCTGTATATACATATATATCCTTGCTTCTTTTTTTATATGTTTGTTTGCTTAACCGGTTTATTGATACTAACGGTTTTTTAAAATACATTAAATGTATAATATTGTCTTTTCCTGAATCCTTTTTGAATTTTCTCCCCCTTAAATTGGTTTTCCCCGCTGCATTTATCCCTGTGTTGTATGTAAACATTTCCCTTTTCTGCTTGATTATAAAATTAAAAAACAAACATTATTTGAAAAAAAAATAATTATTTGCATGTTCATCTAATCTGTATAATTAATCCTCAATAATTGTGAACATCCAATGTTTGATTGAATTATCCTGCACGTATCTGTTCCCTTGGGTATTTGGTGTGATTGTTAATATTACACATACACTAACTTTATTTTGTTCCCTCAAAATTAGTCTGCACGTAAACCTAATTTAGATAGTCGTACAGATGAATGGATTGGAAGTGTTAGGCGCTTTACTTTAAGCCAGCTTAATACTGAAGGTATGACACATCCTTTAGTTTTAGCAGCTCGACGTCAAAGTACATCAGTTAATCGAGGTGGATCGATTAGTGCTTCTGGTAATCTTCGTCATACAACACCACAAGATGTTCCTGAAGAAGATGAAGAACATGAATATGATGAACGTTTAGATAAAAATTAACTCTTTTTGATCATTGTTGAGTGACATTCTTCTTTTGGGGTGATTTTCTTCTAAACAATTTAGATATTATACATATATATATATACATATACATAGACAAGAGTATTTATCATCCGGTTTTATACAACATACAACTATATAAATATACAAGTCTTTTTGCCAAATGTAGGTTGAAAATCAGATTGGACACTCAAATCTACTAAGTTATA